AGTGGTAACACGTCCGCACAGTACAGTGTCTAAACCAAGAATGGCTTTACACCCAACGACTGTAGTCACTAGGGTTAAAGAAGGAACACATTCTTGTCGTAAGAGGCGAGTAACGGCATGTCAGTAACCTATGTGTCACATGATGTCAAATAAGTGTCATAATCATGGACATAAGATGGGTGTTTTTTTATGTTTGCAATTTGAGAGTAAAAGTTTTAAAATGTTGAGTAAAAGTGAAAGTTTTACAGGAGAACACATATTTCTTATTCAGTAATATATATGACAAATGCTAAATCATTTCATCACCGTACAACCAAACTACTTGAGATATTCAGTGACCATCAGTCGTCAACTGCTTACTATTTCCTGTATTTAATTCCGGTCAGACACTTGTCTCCCTACATAACGGAAGCTGACCGCTTGTCAGCATACATTCAACATCACATTGAAAAATTATCCATGCCATGTACTCATGATTACAGTCTGACCTTTAAACAGCGGAAGCTGACCGTTTGTGACCACGCTGAAAATTATCACCAACCATGTACACATGATTACAGTCTGACTTTTAACCTACAATAAAACAATTTCTGGTCAACTTGAACCAGATAACTTTGCGAGCACAGGAAGCCACACACAGGAAGCTAAACACATCAACCCTCCCAGGTCCGCACCAACTGTCACCTACTTGAACATAATTTGTACACGCATAAGCATCATTGATACAAATGACAGCATTAAATACTTAAAAATGGTGGTCAGTTTTAATGACTGGATGGAGGTGCTTTTAACAAACATAACACCTTACACTATTTCATCCAATCACAGCTGTCACATGTCTCTTCAGTGACGGCTCAGTGAGCAAGCGATTCTGCTATGCAGAATAGCATAGTGTTATGTATTGATGCCTATAGACAGGGCCCCATTCACGCATATACAGGCCCACATGAAATTTAAAAGCTACAACCGTTTATTGTTGACAGATATGTAAAATACTTGTTCCTTGTGTGACAGCGTATTTTAAATTTTGATTTAAAAAAATGAGCTGTGATATTTTGACCTTATAAATAGCAGCTAAATTCCCCCTCATTGTGTGATATTAATTCTACGTTGAACGCGTATGCTTAGTCTGTCTCACTGTCCCTGAACCACATTATTTTCCCTACTGCCATATGCCCTCTCTGCAGTGCTAAAGCCCTAAATAAAGCAAGTCTGGATTTCCTCAGGTTCTGAATCTCTGGGGTCATTAGGGCTCCTTTTCAATTTAAACGGGCTTGTTTGTTACTATCAAAATTATATATATATATTCAGAGACTAAGCATTAGTCTAAGCTGTGTGAACACTCGAGTCGGCAAACTCATACCACTCATAAGATAATTGAATAATAATCACGGACCACTAAGGTGAACCTGAAGGTGACACACACACCTAGGCCGGACTCCCGAAGGAGGGTGGAGTTCAACAATCGATTAGGTCACACAAAGGTCACACCTATGTTGCGTCATAAAAAGAAAATGGAGGATTTGGGCTTCAACCCCACCCCTTACAACAAATTTGGTACTCATTCAACGGTGTTATGCACATCTGGCTCCTTGCAGATGGGGCCTGTGTTGAACCAAGCTGTCCAGCACGACAGTCCACAACACTGGAAGAAAACCTGAGAAGTGTCCTGTCTACCATGTCGGAACGAAGTCTCCGGGATTTGGGCCTAATAATGGGACTGTTCCCAGAGCCCCCTACCGGCAAAAGAACAAAGTTTGTCACAGCAACATCCAGCAACCACTTCTACGAGTCCCAGGCCCTGATCCGGAACCTTCACAGGAATGTCTTCCCTCTGATTAATAACTACACATTTGTGCTCTATGATCTGGGACTGACGGCATCTGAACGAAAGCAGGTGAAACCCATGATATGTTCTCTGATACATTTACCTGTTATTTGTAGTTTCTGTATGATGATCAGTATTGACTAATGTTAACTAAGCAACATGTTTACCACTGCTTGCACAAAGAGGAAATACCACCGGCAAGCAAAAATAGTGTCACTGACAAACAACATATGTTATATTTGGGATTCCACTTTCTTAGTAAAGTACAAATTCTAGTCCTTTTTTTAGTTGAACTCACACCCTGAGAGTCAGGCACCTAATCGCCAGCACACAAAGTCAGCCGCCTAACCCGCTCAGCTACCGCGACTTTGTGCGGCTGACTTTGTGTGCTGGTGATTAGGTGTCGACTCACAGGGTGTGAGTTCGAATCCCGGATGGGGCTCAACTCAAAAAAGTACAAGAATTTGTACTTTACTAAGAAAGTGTTATCCCAAATATAACATATGTTACATTTGACCACTTTCTAAATGGCATTGTGTAATCACGAAAAACAACACTTGAAGAAATAGTTTCGATTTGAATGTAATGCAAAACAGTCACACAATTTACCAGTCACAAAACAAGTACATTATGAACATAATACAATACAAGTACGTAATGAACATTATATAAAACATTGTCATGAACACCACGCAAAAGAGTTACAGAAAGAAGATGATGTATAAGAATTACATAATACAAAGCGGTTACACGATGAACATAATGCAAAAAGGAAATGACATAATGAACATAATACAAAACAATGACCTAATGAACATTATACAAAGCAATGACACAATACAAATAAGGCAATACAATTGCATAATTAACATAATACAAAACAATGAACATAATACAAACAGTTACATAATGAACATAATACAATGCAATGACATAAAGAACATCATATAATGCAGTGACAAAAGAAACATCATACAATACAATAACACAAAACAATGATATAATGAACATAATGCGAAACAATGTCAGAATATAGACAATACAACACAAATACATTGTTAACATAATACATTACAATGACAGAATGAACATAATGCAAAACAATGACATTATGAACGTAATACAAAACAATGGTATAATGAACATAAACAAAACAATGACAGAATGAACATAACACAAAACAATTACAAAATGAACATAATACAATACAATGACATAATGAACATAATACGAAACGATTTCAAAGCAACCACATAATGAACATAACCATCTTGTTCCTATACACATGAATACACGTATATCAGGGACGGTGAGGTAGCCTAGTGGTTAAAGCGTTCGCTCGTCACGTCGAAGACCCGGGTTCGATTCCCCACATGGGTACAATGTGTAAAGCCCATTTCTGGTGTTCCCCGCCATGATATTTCTGGAATATTGCTAAAAGCGGCGTAAAACCATTCTCACTCACTCACTCACTAATTAGTTGACTTGTTTTTGCATGTGTTTGTGAAGCGTGGCTCCGGCGGGGCAGGATATATTCACCGTTTGGTATCATCACTTTGTGATTTTGTCATAAACACATTCTTATAATGAATACGGAATGGTACCGCGGAACGACGATTATGGCAATGGTTTTGTCTCCTTTTTTCACAGATGGAGAAACATTGTCGTTGTGAAGTTCGGAGATTTCCGCTGGAGTCCATACCGTCAAGGTTGCGGGATCTTCAATGCTACTCATGGAAACCGATTATTATACAGGTGTGCTCTTTTCTGTTGCCGTACATTAACATGTGTATTTTCAGGAGAAAATATCAAATTCATTGAATATTTTCCAGTATAATCGATGTATATAGACTTTTGGCAAACAGTGACATATGATTCTTGCTCAACGTTTTTTTTGGCCAGGGTTAGTGTCTTCAAAGCCTACATAAAGTTTTCAAAACGTTTTATGGTGGACATGTGTTTTGTATTTCCTTAGTTTGGCGCATCAGTGACCGAAATAGTGTATGATGCAATTCTCATTTTCGACTTGTACCATATATCAACAACAGCTCAGATACATTTTCTCCATCTGTTGTTGTAGGCTAACCTACATAAGGCAGACATACTGGTGTGGATGGACGCGTCTGTAACAACTTGGGATAGGTTTGCATGTGGCTGTGGTAGATTCGGGTTAACCTACATAAGACAGACATATTAGAGCGGATGGACGCATCTGTAGCATCTTAGTATAGGTTTGCATCTAGTTGTTGTACTTCCTTTTAGGCTAACCTACATAAGGCAGACATACTGGTGTGGATGGACGCGTCTGTAGCATCTTAGTATAGGTTTGCATCTAGTTGTTGTACTTTCAGGCTAACCTACATAAGACAGACATACTGGTGTGGATGGACGCGTCTGTAACAACTTAGTATAGGTTTGCATCTAGTTGTTGTACTTCCTTTTAGGCTAACCTACATAAGGCAGACATACTGGTGTGGATGGACGCGTCTGTAACGTCTTTGGCTAGGTATTATATCTAGTTGTTGTACTTTCAGGCTAACCTACATAAGGCAGACGTACTGGTGTGGATGGACGCGTCTGTAACATCTTAGTATAGGTTTGCATCTAGTTGTTGTACTTCCTTTTAGGCTAACCTACATAAGGCAGACATACTGGTGTGGATGGACGCGTCTGTAGCATCTTAGTATAGGTTTGCATCTAGTTGTTCTACCTTCAGGCTAACCTACATAAGGCAGACAAACTGGTGTGGATGGACGCGTCTGTAGCACCTTAGTATAGGTTTGCATCTAGTTGTACTCTCAGGCTAACCTACATAAGGCAGACATACTGGTGTGGATGGACGCGTCTGTAACATCTTAGTATATGTTTGCATCTAGTTGTTGTACTTTCAGGCTACATAAGGCAGAAAGTACAACATAAGGCAGACATACTGGTGTGGATGGACGCGTCTGTAACATCTTAGTATAGGTTTGCACCTAGTTGTTGTACTTTCAGGCTAACCTACATAAGACAGACATACTGGTGTGGATGGACGCGTCTGTAACATCTTAGTATAGGTTTGCACCTAGTTGTTGTACTTTCAGGCTAACCTACATAAGACAGACATACTGGTGTGGATGGACGCGTCTGTAACATCTTAGGATAGGTTTGCATCTAGTTGTTGTACTTTCAGGCTAACCTACATAAGGCAGACATACTGGTGTGGATGGACGCGTCTGTGAGGTTCTCCAACAATATCATCAAACCCCTGCTAGATGATGCAGAGAGACGAGGCATGGTCTTAGCCTCAGGTACAAACTCTGTGGGGCAGCATACTCTACAGGTTACAATGGACTACATGAAGGAAGACGTCTGCACCCTAGCTCCATTGTTTGAGCATGAAGCAACATTCATCATGTTTCACAATAAGCAGTGGGTACGAGAGGCCGTTGTGAAACCATGGGCAGTTTGTGCCGTGAGTGATAAGTGCATGTGTCCTCGGGATCCAGAATACGATACCTACTGTAACGTGCACATCCACAAGTACAAGAAGTGTCATCGTTATGACCAAACTGCAATAAACATCATACTCGCCAAGCTTTTTCGGGACCACACAAGTAGTTTTCTTTCGCTATGCTACGACTATGTCAGTTTACTGCGTGGTGATACGTATCGGTATTTTGATGAACTTGAGGAATGGCAAGCAGTGCCAGCTGGTCGTCGCCCTTGACAACAAATCTGTAGTACTGTCTTCTTAGCCTTGCTCAGGGCTTGGTGTAAATGAGACATTCTAATACCTTCGGAGATATTCTGCGTATTCTGAGACATTCTAATACACTGGGAGACATTCTGCGTATTCGGAGACATTCTAATACATTCTGAGACATTATAACTTCTGCGTATTCTGAGATTGAGTTATTGTGACTCTTCGGAGACTTTCTGAGCCATTCTGCACATTCTGAGTTTTTATGAGACATATGTAGAATAAAGACATCCTGGTACTTCGGAACTTTTCATTCTAATACATACGGACACATTCTGCGTATTCGGAGTCATTCTAATACATTCGGGGTATTCTGTGCAATTCTAATTCATTGGGAACCTTTCTGCGTATTCTGAGTCATTCTATTGCACTCGGAGACATACTACGTATTCTGATATTGAGTTATTGTGACTATTCTGAGACTTTCTGAGCCATTCTGCACATTCTGAGTTTTTATGAGAGATATGTAGAATAAAGACATCCTGGTACTTCGGAACGTTTCAGAACCGAATGATATTAAGAAAAGGAACCTCGAAAGTATGAAACCTCATTGGCCAGGATGAAATCTATCAATCTAACACGAAATTGAGGCATAACTGTTATAGACGTACAATCCAAGAAAGACATGGCTATGGAATTTTACTTTCAATAATACTGAATAAATTCACCTAACAGAGAGCTTTCATTTCGAATCTTGTGTGTCGAATGACTTTGGTTCCGTCTGAAAAAGAGTTGTGAAGATGTCCTTTCCCGAGTCATTAGCATCGGTTGCTATGGGAAAACAGCAAGAGACTTTTATTCACTTGTGTTGGCAGTGTCCATTTGTAGATTCATTTTGGAATAACTTGCATAGATGCTTGACACAAAAATGTGACCATATATTCAATCTGGAGCTCTCTGCTGAACTTGTTATGTTTGGATGTGACTCGAGTACTGTCACAGCTGCTGTTTTTGACCTCTTACTATTGATGGCTAAATTCTTTGTGTATAAATGTTGGTGTCAAGGGGTAAAACCACACATTGGTGGTTTTTGAGAAAGTGTGTGAACATAGGTATTCTATTGAGAAAATTAGCTTCTCAAGCAGAAACAAACTCAATACATTTTGCACAAAGTGGGCATTCTTTCAGTCCACCTTTCAGTCAATCTAGCCTAAGTATAAGTGAAAAGCAGACATATAGTAAAAGCTAGCTGTTTATTTTAAACATACAACAGTATTAGTATGAATGTGAAAGTGAATGAGTTTGGGTTTTTTCTTCTTCTTTTTTTAAGAAAATGTCAGAATTTCTGTCAATAAGCTTTCATACTGTACACATGAGAGTCCCCATTTCCCTGGAAGCGACCATCAATCTTGTAACAGGAACCTTCTGACAATACAAACATTGAAATTGAAAATAAAAATGAAAACAGCGAGAATCTGGGGAGGCGGAAAATGGACTATGACCACGACACAAAAGATGCCATTTGAGTGCATTACAGATACACTGGTTTTTGGTGGTTTAAGTTTATATGGTCTTGTATGATTACCATACAAACTTTAAGGTCGTTTGCTTTCTTGTTTGATTGTACACATTCAACTATTGAAACACCTGAAGCCTATTTTCGTTAGAGGACATCAACAGTTTGAATGAGCCATACAAATAACAACCGCCAAAGTCTAATATATCCTTTATGCTCTAAACCTATTCAGATTGTTGTTCAGGTAATTGTTTGCGATGCACATCTGAAAAAATATGCCAATGATATACATAATTAAGAAATTAAGATAATCTCGTTTTGATCAGAATGCAGTCATTTATTCCTTTATACTAACCGGCAAAAGGATAGATCTATCTATTTATTTATCTATCTATATATATTAAAAGTTCACAGGTATGCATTTAGATAGATTTAACAAAATAAAACAGCCAATTTCACTCTTTCATGTTTCATTAATTTCTGCAGAGAGTAAATTAATGAGACACGTGGGAGTGAAATTGGTTCTGTGTTTTCTTTCAATCTATTTAAATATTGTATATATACGAAGCTTCTTTCTTTGCCGGTTAGAGCGTCCGCTCGGCATTAATGGGTACAACAAGGACTGGTCGGCTCGGAGTCAGTATACTGTGTCTGAGTGGGGTATTCATGCTTCACTGCGGCATGGTATCTCAGTGAGCTAGCACTATAAAACCAGCTTCAGTCTGGGCTAGAACAAGCAGACGCACATACACATACACACGCATGCACGTCGTCATATGAGCGAAATATTCTCAAGCACGACGTTAAACCCAATTTCACCTCACCTCACCTCTTTCTTTGCCGTTTAGTGGCTGGTGTGACAGATGTGTTTTCCCCAACCCAACAGAAACTCACAATTGCTTTGATTTAAATTTTGGGACTAGATTTTCCAAATCATCCAATGTCACCTCAAGCTCGGCTGTAGTGATCTAAACGCAGATAGATATAATCGACATATATCGGAAACATCCAAGTGTTCATGTGGTCATTATCACGAAGACGTTATTCACTACCTTTTCACATGTCCCAACTATCAAAATTTCAGAACAACTATGTATTTGTATGTCCACGAATGCGATCATGTTAAAACTACTCTATACGGTAACGGCACATTGAATAACCCAACTAAAGTACTGTCGGAAATAGAAAAAAACTGTTTTTAGGCTCTTACTCTGTATCCCTAAAATTTACACAACTACAAATAGCATATGTCGAAATAACCCACTTCGGCCTAACTTGGCATTCAGTGGGATGCGTAATAGGATATCCAGAAAAGCATGTTTACTCGTAAAATCGGTCAAAACTTAGAAAAAATACGAATAGCTGCTGAAAACAATAAATCAGACTATAGATGGCAATCAGGTCGCTCAGCCACGTATGACGACGGACCGTCGACTCACCTGGCATGATATGCACGTGCTGCCTACAGGCACAAGGGGTCATCTCAAAGATATTTTGTGCTTTTTCATGTGTGTTGAATGTCTCATCTATTGATTAACAGCTTAAGTGTCTTTCTTTCATAAAGTTTATGTTGAGATATGTAAAAGAGTTTGATACCTGATAACCATAGAAACGCATCGTATTAAATGTCTCAAAATATATAGGTGGCATGACCACCCGATCGCGAAGATCGACAGGACTGGATATTATTTTCAAAATTGTTATGACATGCCGTGTACTTCCCCAGTATAATTGCCCTAAAGGATTATGGTATCTTAGCTGATATCTCTATCCCCAAGCCCGACCCCAACGATCGTCTGCGACACCCTGTTACGACGTAAATTGTAATAAAAACGCAAATTGTAATACTTGCAGCAAATTGTAATAAACTTGACGTAAATTGTAATAAAAACGTAAATTGTAATAAAAATTGACGTAAATTGTAATACGCAAATTGTAATAAAAATTGACGTAAATTGTAATAATTTTCGTTGCGGTAAAATGTAATAAATATTTACGTAAATTGTAATAACAGTTTTAATCACTCGTAAATACGCGGGTGTTTGTTTTTCGTTGTCATACATCAAATAAGCTTGCAAGGGCGATAACTCAAGAAAGAAATGATGGATTTTTGTTCAAATTTAGTACCAAGGTATATTGGCGAGATGCACCAACACAAGTGAAATGGAGTGACCTTGAGATAATTTTCAAGGTCACAGCAAAAATCTGAGGGTTTTGCCAATATAAAGATTGTTAGCGCGATAACCCAAGAATGAATTAACAAATCTTAGCTAAATGACGAAAATTATATTCGTCCTGATATATAATCGATATAAACTGTCCTCTGTATCATGTCTTTTCGCAAATATCTTTTGAGGTTTTGATATGTATACATATAAAGTGGGGGTGGGGTAGGGGTTTGATTCTAACGGGTATATCTAACACACTTGCATGCATGTAGAGTCGGAGAGGTGGGTGTTCGGGTATAACTACGAGGGACGTTCAAATAGTAGTCAGCCTTACCTAGAATATGATACAAATGCAGCTGTTTTTATGTTTTCTTTTTCTACATATTATCTGTCAGCCTCAAGCAAATTGGTTTTGCTATGTTGCAGCCTCACGATCCCCATTTTGTGAGACTTTGTATATTGGCTTGGTACTCCCCAAAAAGGTAAAATCTGCAATAAAATGCATCACAAACTTCAGGAACAGAAATATGCTATGTTTGAGATTGGTAGAAGTCGGCTAGAATCAAACATAGATATTAAACTTCACAAAAACGCAATTTCAAAACTACAATCGCTTGTTCAAATGACTCCCCATTCTGTTTACTGAAAGAACTCGAGAAAGAAATGATGGATTTTGTTCACATTTGGTAACAAGGTTTATTGACTGGAGATTGGAGATTTACCGACACTACTTGAATTTAGTGACCTTGAGGTCATTTTAAAGGTCACAGCGAAGGTGTAACAGTTTTGCACATGCCAAGCTTGGTAGCCGCGAACTCAGGAAAGTATTAATAGATTTTGATCCAGTTTTATATCAAGGTGTATTGGCGGGAATCCCCCTACACCAATTGATTGGGAAACTTGTGCTCATTTTAAGTTCACAGTGAAAAGTGTTTTGCACATTTCTAACTTTTTAGTGCGAAAATACAAGACAGAATTAATATGTTTTGCTTAAAGGTAGTACCAAGATGCTTTGGGAGTATCGTCTAACGCCAGTCCAATTCAGTGATTATTTTCAAGGTCACAGCGAGTATTCTTGCGATATCTCCAAACCTAATGGGTGGAATTTGTTCACAGTTTGTATCAAGGCATCAGATGACAGTTTCGGTAACGTTTACATAATTTTCAGGGTCAGACAGAGGATAATTGCGACATTCAGATATCGACATGTGGCGGGGGTAATAGCTATGGTTGTGACAAACGCTTTGTCATTACTAATTTTCAAATTTTTGTTAGCATATGGTTTCTATAATTTCATGTTAATTCTACCAGCTGTGAAATTATTCGTGACACGCCTTTAAAAA